GGTCTGGTCTGGTCTGGTCTGGTCTGGTCTGGTCTGGTCTGGTCTGGTGTAAAGACTGTTTATAATTTCCTTTGTTAATCGATATTTTGAAAGTAATGAACATTTTCCAAAAGACCGGAATTTCATTTATGAGTGAGGTAGAAGCCGAGATGAGATCGTCTGAAGCAAAGTCAAAGATATACATGCGTCTCAATCTATATTTTATATGTAACTCACATTTATTTGTAGTTTTTTTCTAGCCAAAATACTTATAAAATGTAGCATAATATCAGAATCGGATCACTTAACTTGTTGCAAAATAATGTAAAAACTCGAAGCCATTGAGGCGCGTATTTCTTTTGAAGGAACTCATATGCCCCCTCGTCTAAAAAGAAGAACAAAATTAAACAGATAAACCGAATCTTCAATAAATAATTACATCCTGTAAAAGGACATTTTTCGTAATTGAAAAAGGTTCCGTTCACTCGACGCGAACCCCATTAGACCATTAAACTTTCACATCCAGTGAAAGGACTGTTTTTATAATTGATGTGATCTCAAACCTTTAATGGCTAGTACAGACGTTTTGGCCGTTATTACTTTCTATTTTTACTCTAACTTTTAAAACGTTGGTATCGTCAAAAACGTTTTGAAGGTATTCAAGCTCCTTCTTATTTGATTCTTGCAAGGGCAATATTATTGCATAATATTTCAGTTAAATACGAAAACACATTTCTTGGTCATGTTTTTTATTATTCATATCTCAGCTTAATCAATAAATTTCTTTAATTTCTTAAGCTTTTAACGTTTAATTTTTCTTCATCCCTTTTCATTGAATTATTTTAGTTCAAGAACATTTTAGTTCTTAGCCATTTCTCCTTTTATCCATGGAAGGAGAAACTTGACCTTAGCATAGACACCAAATTTGCCAGGAGCCGCGCAGCCATGACCCCAGCTGGTAGCCCCATGAATAAAGAATCGACCTCCATTTTCACAGACCATTGGTCCACCAGAGTCTCCTTGGCATGAGTCAATACCACCCTGGTCAATACCAGCACAAATCATAGAATCGTGGATCTTATTTGGGTATGCTTTTTCACAACGAGCACGGCTAGCAATGGGGACAGAAACTTGTTGAAGGTAATCTGGTGATGCACCTCCTGAGGAAAGACGTCCCCATCCTGTGATCCAGCAGTGTTTGCCATCAGTAGGAGCCGGGTCAGTTTCAGGCAGACACACCAGGTTGACATTTCTACGAAAGAGAAAAAAAAAATCCGGCAGCTCAGTCTTTTAAATATCATAATATTAGTTGGTATATTAAATAAGTGTAAGGAGAAGCACGACGCGCTATAGTTTTTTAGCTTGGATGTAATGTTTTCCCAAAAAAATCATATGTCTCTAAAGTATCATGTCTCTAATGGTTTAGTAAAAAAGGTACATCAATATGGATTTAACTCAAATAAACTCAATCACTAAGAAGATGGTACGTGGTCTGAAATAGGAAAACATTACACSCAASGAAAAGAGGCATATCACCCCGTTGCATTAGGAATAGGCAGAAAATTAAAGATGAAATTTATAACTTTCAATATTTATTAATATGTTGCTTTCGTCGTATAGAGCGTTTTCACGTGACCATTATGGTGTACCAAAACAATACATTTTCTATCCTCCGGGAATTGAACTCTGTTTTTATGCAAATACTGTGCAGAAAGTTTCTATTATTTGGTACACCAATATGGCTGCCTTCTCAAGTGAGTGAAAACGCTCTATACACACAATTCTCAACATGATAAGGTAACTCACCGATTGAGTAGAGCAGGTTTCTCAAGCTTCAACAAGGCGATGTCATGAGAGTACGACTTTGGCTTGTGGTAACTAGGATGAGTAATAACCTTGGATACCTTAATATCCTGTTCTGTGCCAACAGTCTGGACGCGTCTGTGCGCTCCAAGCCTGAAAAGAAACAACAAAAGAATAAAAGGATTGTAACAAAGATTTAGAGCGTAAATCAATTCAGGATAATTTATGAATAGGGTAAATGCACGAAAAAACCCCGTATTTTAGGTATATCTAACGGTAGAGCAGAATAGAAAGTACTAAACTTTTAAGCTCAATTAAAATTAAAATTAAATTCATATTTTAATTCAATTTTTTTTTTAAATTTCCCTATGTCATTATGGCGTCTCATAAAAACAATCCTTTGGTGCATTGCAGTGATTTTCAAACAACTAATTAATATACTAGGAATAAACCGTTGCATGATATAAATTGAAAAAAAGCGTAACGTTTGCTGAAACAGTTCTTATGAAGAACCGACGACTGAAATGCCCCGTACAAACCCGGCTCTCACTCGGTGCTAGATGATTTTCATTCTTATTTTCCAATACTTACCTGATGACGATGGAGCTTGCTGATTTCCCAGAGACACAGTGAGTAGCGGTGAGAATCCATTGAGGATGAATCAAAGATCCACCACAGTATGGGAACCCGGATGTAGTTCTTAACTGAACCTGCCAAGGCCAGTCACCATGTTTAGCGGCCGTGCCTCCTACGATTCTCGTGTGTGGACGGACACCACATGAACCTGAAATAGTTATCAAAACAATATAAACTAGTCATTTTTTATATACAGGGCGTTTTTACATAACGTCATAGCAGCCATAGTGGTGTACATTTGACATTTGACGTCGTTTTTAATGTTTGTCACGCAACGTTTCCGTCTTACGTTTTTGGGGGAGGGAAGCGTTGCGTGACAAGCAGAATTGCTAATCAGCCTGTAGCTTGGTAAATGTTAGTTGTAAACTTACCTAAAGGAGGTGAGGTTCCAGTGACAACTGGTGGTGTAGGGGGCTGAGTGGGTGGAGGCGGAGTTGGTACTGCAATATGAAAGACAAGAGACAAGCTTCATTCAATTTCATTAATTATTGTGTTGTCCAGTTCCAGACCAGCTTCTCATGAACAGACACATGAATTTCGATACAACTCAAACAAATTTATTCTAAAGAAAATAAAACGTGTCCTGAAAGGCATATTTGGAAACCGTTGCGCCTAAGATAAAAAAGATATATTTTTATTCAACAATGGCAATCTTTAGTTAAGCAATCCAGTTCGGATATATTTATATTTAGATAAATAATGCGTTTAAAAATAATGTCACATAAAGAAAAAAAAACAAAACAAAAACCAGAAAAAAAACAAAAAAAAAAAAAAAAAAAAAAAAAAAAAAAACAAAAAAAACAACAACAACAACAAACAAATAAACAAAATTTGCGAGCAATCTCGGAATTTGCGACCTTTGAACTAGCAAGAATAACGCAAGAATTACATTTTAAGAAAATTATATTTATTATTTAGCTTCGTAAAAGTGGTTCAGATGTTTAAGGGAAAAAATGTGTTGCGGATCCAGAAATGGTTTCTTGTAACCCCCGCCTCCCCCTTGTGTGTAATCGATAGCACCAGCTTTTCTTCAACGTGGCGGATATTTTGTTTTGGCAAACCCTCTTAAAAATCATCGATCGCGACTGCTACGCAGTACGATTTCCTTAAACTTGTAAGCTTTACACTTTGCCTTGAATTTCTTTAAGGCCGATTTAGATTCTCGCCTCCAACTATCGTATACAACACGCTCGCGCCATGACACATACGATTGTCGTAGCTTTTTAAAAAGTTTTAAATCTTACGACTTTTTTCATGTTGCACGCGAAGGTCGTAAGCGAGTTGTAGGCTTAATTTACACGCTACGACTACAGTTATTGGATGGCGCGAGCGTGTTGTATATGATAGTTGTAGGCGGAAATCGTACCGTCTAAACCGGCCATAAAAATAAGGTGAGGTTAAGCTTACCTGAGTCGCAGTTGCCGATAGATATGTCATCAATAGCGATGTCACCAGAATACTCTTTAGCCCGAATGCCTTCAAACGATAGCTGAAGTGACATACAAAAAAGAGAGAGAATAATGGTATACCATGAAATCTGACAGCTTTAAGTAAATTATCGAGACTTAGGGGATATTATCTGCCTCAGCTTACGACTTTAGCAGATTCCAACACATGGTCTAGATAACGGACGATATCAAGCTACACCACTTACAATACTTGTCTACTTTTTAAAACGTGTTACCGCTAGTCACCACCTTGACTACAGCAGTGGCGCAGCTCAACAGAGTCGAGCTGAAAGCATGTGAAGGCGCCTCTGGCAGCCGCTATACAGTCCATGTATTACCTTGATCTCCACTCTAACAAGTTAGAATTAATTAGGGTTGCGTTGATTTCAAATGTTAGTACAACAGTCATGTTCAAGTTGCATGGCATTATTACAGGCTCGCAGTTGTAATTCCGACACAGACCTGATACTGATATTGAATAGAGTAGTGCATGAAGATAAAAATTGGTTTGTACTAACTGTTTGTGTTCCTGTTTGTGACAATCGAACACTGCCTTTGATCCACTTGTTCCCTTGGGGTCCGCTTTTAGTGAAAACTTTCGAAGTTCCGACAAAGACGTTAAAAGTACCAATGTGGAAACCATACATGTGGTAATAGAAGGTCAAACACTGGTTGCTGCTGATAGTGACCCTCTTCTCAATGATAGCATTATCGCCTTTCACGCGGGGATAAGAAGCCTCGATATACATGTAGTAGCCTATTGAAATAAATATGAAATTTATATGAGTCACTTTATAACACATAGAAACCTAATAACAATAACAATTTTGTAAAAAACTTGCAATTGAAACTGTTTTCATTGTTACGCGCTTATGTATACGACATTCTCGTCTGTCCGTCTGTCCGTCTGTCCGTCTGTCCGTCTGTCCGTCTGTCCGTCTGTCCGTCTGTCCGTCTGTCCGTCTGTCCGTCTGTCCGTCTGT